ATTGAGTGAGGACTTTGATGTTGCAACACAGTGGAGGACATTATATTTATCAAATAGCAAGCAGTGAGAACGTTATCCCCTAAAAAAGGAAAAGGAACATGGTATAAGTAAAGTACGAGCAGTTTCAATGAGATGCCTATTTTTACGTTCGGCGATCCCATTTTGTTGAGAAGTATATGCATAAAAAGTCTGGTGAGTGATTCACTGAGACGACATGAAACTGGCAAAAGGAGATGATAAGTACTCTTTGGTATTATCACTGCGTAATACCTTTATTGAAACACCAAATTGATTTCTTATCTCAACACAAAATATTTGAAAGATAGAGAATACTTCAGAACAATTTTTCATTAAAAACACCTATGTGCAACAGAAAAAATCATCAATAAATGTAACAAAATACTGAAATCCTAAACTTGAAACAACACGACAATGGCCTTATACATCTGAGTGAACATTATCAAACATATATGCAGCCCTGTTATTGACTCTTTTGGGAAACGAAATGCGACTATGTTTCCTAAGTTGACAAGACTCACATTCAAAAGAAGACAAACTGGAAAGACTAGGAATTATTTTTTGAAGCTTTGCAAGACTCGAGTGATCATGACGGTTGTGGAGAAGGTCTGATGAGGTGGTAGAAGTGAAGGCAATTGGTGGTGGTGATTTTGACATTTAATACAGTCTCTGTGACTTATATCATGTTCCAATCGTCTTCCCCATTTATCGGTCCTGTACAACAACAAAGTCAGCCAAAAAAGTGACACCGCAATTGAGGTGTTTCATTAATTTTCTAACAGAAATCAAATTAAATGGACATTCAGGAGCAAATAAAATTGAGTTTAAGAAAATAGAGGGAAGAAATTGCACGTCCCCTATTTCATTAACTACAGTTCTTGATCCATTAGCAAGGGTAACTACAGATAAGGTTGTGGAATGAATGATATTTGAAAAAAAGATTTTGATTACCAGAGATATGGTCAGATGCACCAGAATCTAACATCCATGGGAAAGTGAGTGAAGAACTGGTTTGACAAGCAAATGAATTACCATTTTGTGAGGTTTCAGGTAAAGGTGATTGTCGTATAGCTGCTTGATACTGCAAGTAGTCACTATAATCTGCTTCAAACAAAGTAATGGAATTGTCCAGTTGACCATCTATGTCTTTATGGGTTTGAACCATGTGAGCGGTACTCCGATTGTTAGTATGCAGTGGTCGATCATACAATTTCCAACAAGATTGTCGAGTATGGCCTGGCTTGTTGCAATAGGGTCTAGAGTTCCTGTTGTTCCCCCTTTGATGGACATTTAGTTCTTGTGGATTTTCATTTTCATAGCTAATACAGATGTCTCAACGTTATTGATCTCAATTGTTTCTGAACCAATACACAATAATCGAGCTGAAACATCGATTAAGGAAGGAACTGAGGAACTTGCCAAGATTTGATCTTTTACTGGTGTCAGATTAGATCTAAGTCCTTTCAGTGCTAAAACCATAAATAACTTATCTCTTTGTTGCTCCTGTGTGGTGACACTTTCAGAGAGTGACATGAGAGAATCAAATTAATCTTTCAAGGTATCTATTTGTTCTAAATAACTTGCCATATCTTGATTATTCTGCTGAAGTTGGACTAAGTCTGAGACAACCTTGTATATCATTCGTATACAAAGTCTTAACTTTAGTTCAAACTTTATAGCAAGTTTTACAAGATTGAAATAAGTTGAGTAATTTAGGTTCCAAATAGTTCCATAAAATATTGCATAATTGAGCATCAATTCGAGTCCACTTAGTCCTTTCACTAGCAACAATATCACTAGTATTTTTAACTAAATGATCCTCATATCTTTGTCCCATAAACAACATCTCAACAGATGAAGACCACGGTGTGTAATTATTACTACCTTCCAACTTCGCAGTAGTAATAACAAGAGAACTTGAAATAGAGGAAAACATTGATTTGATATCACCTGAAGATTCAATTTTTTCGGAGACTTCAATTAAAGATTCACCTTTCTCTGACATTATGGCTTCAACAACTAGATGAAATACAAAAAAAAGTCATTGGTGAAAAGAATGCAAAACAGAAAAAGAGAAGAACACAATTCCTATTTATGACTGAGATCTGGTTGAGACCTTTTCTGATCAGAACTGAACCAGAAATTTACCGGAATAAGAAGGATGAAACAGAAGAATGACTGGAGAGAATGACTCGAGATCTGGTTTAGTCCTTTTTTAGATTGGAACTGAACCAGAAATTTTCTGAAAAAAGAAGAAGACAAAAACAACCTATGAAGTGACTGTTTTTACTGGAAAACTATTTCGATTATCGAAGATTATAGGAGACGTGATGGGTAAGGGTAGAATGAATGATTGACCCTCACAACTTGGAATGAAAGTTTGAGATGGCAGGAAAAATCTGCCAAAGTGGCTCCTAATAAAAGAAGATGTCAGAATAGTCACCGAAAGATCTTATCGGGATAGTTACTGGAGAGGCAACTTGAGACTCTACAAAAACAGCAGAGGCTCTGATACCATGATAAATGATGCAAGCGTATTTCACTTCATACTTGAAATGATAGATTACACCTAGAATATATACACAAAGCTAGACACAAAAGGTCAAGAGCATATCCTTGATAGATTACCTACCATCAGAGGCATATGCAAGAGGGGGTCACCAGGTTCACGTGAACCTATGCTCCCCTCCTGAAATCATATATAGTAGCGTTATATTTTTAATTTTTTTGTTAAATATAGATGTGTGAACCCACAATCGAAGTATCATATAATAGAATGATGATTGGGTGCACCTCTCAATGACATTAGAAATTTGAATTTTATATCTATCTTGTATTATTTTTCTTTTTAAAATTAGGTAGCACCTCTCTAAGTGGTTATTGGTAGCATTTTTGGCGTTATAATTAATTAATCATTTCAATTTTGGACCTATAGATTTAAATTTTTAATTGTTTTCAACGATACAAAACTAAGTGTCAAACCAATTAGATTCACCTTTTCACAATAGTGCACTGTGCACCCATCATTTCAAAATCCTGGATACGCCTCTGCCTACCATACCTACAATATTTGACTATTACACATTACCTACAATACTTGACTATTATCTTACACACAATCTAATTGTTGAAATACTCTTTGACAATATCTTTACACCATGAAAAATGTTTTCCTAGAAAACAAATAGATTTTGGACTTATTTTCTCATGTTTGGTTGGAGAGTAGAAAATATTTTTGTGTGTTTGATTTATGAATGAAAAATATTTTTGAGAAAATATCTTTTATATTTACTAGAGAGTAGAAAATAAATTTTGAATTGAAACTGATTTTTTAAAAACAAATAAACTTAAATTTTTTTGGAGGGGGGTGGGCTGGGGGGGCAGGTGAGGGGGGTAGGGGTGAGATGGAGTAACAAAATAAAAATTTGAAATTGAAAATATTTTTAAAAACAAACTTAATTTTTTTTTTGGAGGGGGTAGGGGGGGGGGGGAGGGTCACGGGAAGGGGTTGGGGTGAAAAAATAAAAATTTGAGATTGAAAATATTTTTTAAAAACAAACTTAATTTTTTTTGGAGGGGGGGGGTCACGGGTAGGGGGGTGTGAAAAAACAAAATTTTGAGATTGAAAATATTTTTTAAAAACAAACTTAAATTTTTTTGGAGGGTGTGAGGAGCTAATAGAGGGGGGGGGGGGGGTCACGAGTACGGGTGCGGTGGAAAAATAAAAATTTGAAATTGAAAATATTTTTTAAAAATAAACTTAAATATTTTTTTGGCTGATGGGGGGGGGGGGGGGGTCGCGAGTTGGGGTGAAAAAATAAAAAATTGAAATTAGAAATATTTTTTAAAAACAAACTTTAAATATTTTTTTGGGGGTAGGGGGTGGGCTGGTAGGAAGCTGGCCGGGGGGTGGGGTTGGATGAAAAATAAGAATTTGAATTAGAAAATATATTTTAGAAACAAACTTTAATTTAATTTTATTTTATTTGGGGGAGTATGGGGGGTTGGGATGAAAATAAAAATTTGAAATTGGAAATATTTTTTTAAAATAAACTTTTTTTTTTGGGGGGGGGGGGTTGGTAGGGGTCTGGCTGGGGGAGGGGGTATGGGTGAGGGTGGGGTAAAAAAATTAAAAATTGAAGTTGAAAATATATATATTTTTAAAGCTTTAAGATTATTATTTTTCAAAAAATAAATTGTAATTTGAAGTTGGAGAAAAATTTTGGAAAATGTTTTCCTTAATTTTTTAAGGAAAGTCATTTTCCTTGAATTTGAGGAAAATAAGTTGATTTGGAAAACATTTTCCAAAATATTTTACCCAATCAAACCTGAGAAATGTGAAAAACATTTACCTTCCTGCCAAACACACCCTATGACTTACTTTTTCTCTGACTTTGCTTGGGTGGGAACTTATTGTGAAAAACATGTTATTGGTTGGGTAAAATAAATTGGGTTGAAGAATTATTATGAGAGTGACATCCAAAATAGAGTTTCTTTTCCAATAAATGGCCTGACATTTGTAAAAATAATTGGACAAATTATTTCACTTACACTCCTTTACTTACCTTAATATCTATTTATCGCTATTTATTTCAAAAGTCCCTTATTTACCTATGTATCTCGCATGTATCCCGTGCACAACACTATGTATCCCGCTATGTGGAATGTATCAAACGTTATGTATCCCGTGTACAATGCTATGTATCCCGCATGTATCCCGTGCACAACGCTATATATCCCGCTATGTGGAATGTATCAAACCTAATGTATCCCGTGCACAACGCTATGTATCCCGCAAACATAATTTTTAAGGGATTTTTGGTAAATAGAATACTAGAAGGGATAGGATGTTATTTAGTACTTATAATATGTGGTTCCTATAATTTATACAAAATAATTTTATGCATCGTAGAGAGAAAATTATTTAGTCATATTAAAATTTTAATTATTAGTAGATATTCAGAAAAACATAATATACATACCTTCCAATAGTTTGACCTAAAATATCATGATGTGAATCTGTGATAAGTTCATGATTATCGTGGGGCTTGTGTCCCAAGTAGACGATGTAAAGCTGTAGATCCAAAGAGTATACAATCAAGAATAAATAATTAATAGTAATTAATTACTAGAGAGAATATTGAAATTTTTTCCAGAATTTGGCGCAAATTATTAGCTTTATTATCTTCGAACTATTGATGGTCTTAAAACACCAATCTACTGAGTAACTAAACTTAGATACACCATCAATCTTCCACGTGACATATATAACCAAATTTAAAAGTGTTTCCAATACTTCTCACTAATTATTATATACATATGTATCAATTGTCCCTTTTGGCCATCTTCAACATGAAAAGGGGTGGAACAATATCGTATAAAATCATTTTAAAAAAAAAGAAGCTAACTATTACTCACGTACACAAAAGGATATTACACCCTCCATTCTGTTTTGCTTGTAGCATTTACGATAAATAATTTACTGCAAAATTCTTATTATTTTAGAAAATGTAAAAAGAATTTCTTTTTTTCAATTTTATACTTACACCTAATAAATATTGAGAGAGATTAATGTGGGAAAAGTAAGAATTAGTTATAAATTAAAATTGAAGGATAAATAAGAATAATTTTGATAAATTATTATAGTTAATCAATATTTTTTAAATAGAGTTTAAACAACATGTAAAAGGGAAAGAAAGGAGTACAAGTTTCAAAGATCATTTTTTTATATAAAAACTTCAATAATAATTGAATTATACCTTAGCATCTTCTACATTTGCTTTTGTTGTTATTGCACATAAACAAGTGAAGATTAACAAGAAAAATAAAAGAGAAGAAGTTGGATTATTCATTTTTTTTATTCTCTCCTTTCTTTAATAAAAAAACTCTGAAAGGGAGAAAATAACCCAACTTTTAGGTGAATTCAGAAACTAATTTTTTAATAAATTTTAGTACTAGCAATACATCAAGCTTTATATAGCCTACACTCACCGCATAGAGTACTTGTATGGTGCAAGAAAACTATGATCCTACTTTTACTCCTTAAAAAAATGATTGTGTTTTAAATATTTGCGATCGAATGTATACTATATATTTTTAAATGAGTGATAATACATGTTTTTCTTACGAATATAATCAGTGACGAAGTAAAAAATTTTGTTAAGAAATCACGTGAGAGTGTACTTTTGTTTCTTGGATTCTTGAAAGAAATGATTTTTTATTATTTGGAAGATAAATGGTGCATGGTAATTGAAAAGGGCTTGAAATCCTTTCCAAATTCAAAGATAAATGTAACATGTAAAAATAATTGGAAGGTCCCCCATAGTGTGCTTATAATAAATATGCATATTAATTAATTAAATAATAAATAGTGGTAATTTTTTTACTAATAGTAGTTAATTGTTATTAGATCTAATATTGTTATAGGCTTTATCGATATTTACAAAGTGTCAAGAAAAATATATTTAGCGATAATTAAATAATTACCGTTAATTAATTGTATCATTTTTGAAGTATTGCATAGTGATTTGGGAAAATGCATAAGTACCCCCAGTCTATGCCCAAAATCCCTGAGACACACCTGACCTTTACTAAGATTCTAGTACCCCCGAACTTATTTTATATATAATTTTCTACCCTTTTCAGCCTACGTGGCACTATCTTGTGGGCCCAGTGCATGTTGACAATTTTTTCAAGGATAGTGCTACGTAGGCAGAAAAGGGGTAGAAAATTATATATAAAATAAGTTCGGGGGGATAATAGGACCTTAATAAAAGTTAGGTGTGTCTCAGGAATTTTGGGTATAGGCTGGGGGTACTTATGCATTTTCCGTAGTGATTTCCTTCAAAGGTATAACTCAATGTGATTATATTTTCTATGTACTCCTGAGGTTTATCAATATTCAAATTGAATTGGGGGAATAAATTAAAGCTTATGAGTATTTTTCAATGCCTAAGCTAAGTTATGACAACCGTGAAATAATATACTATACCTCATTTAATTTCTTTTTTCTATGGTATGGAATGAGATGCCTTTCTTATCTAATAATTAGAATCCTCTAGTCTTGATCTGCCCATAATTATATAACCCTATAAATATATCTTAGTCAAGATCACATTATCACCAAACAATTCAACTTGACATCTTTGGCTAATTGTTGTGTAGCATCTAGGATCAATAATATTCAAAATGGTTGATCTCCAAAATCAACTTGGATTGAACACGCATCAATCATACTCTCATGAGCAAAACTATAGATTATGATAGTAGTCATGGCCAAATAATGAGGCCTATAGGTTATTGTTCAACCATGCCATTTTCTCAGCCCACTCACAACAATCACATGATGATAGGCCATGGTAGCCACACCCAACACCATGATGGACATTATGGACATGACAACTATGGTAGTCATGGGTAGGGGTGTACATGACCTGGTTGGTCCGGGTTTTTCAAATATCAAACCAAATTATTTGTGTAAAATTTTTAAACCAAACTAATAAAATTAGAATTTTTTCGGGTTTTTCAACCTCGGGTTGGTTCAGGTTTTTCAAATACCAAACCAAACCATTGTGTCGAATTTTTAAATTTATAAATCAAACCAAATTAATAAACCTCGGATTTTTTCGGTAAAGTTTGCATACAAACATATAATTAATTTGTGCTCCAAATATTTCTTTAGTCCAACCAAAATACAATTATCTAAGGTGTTTCTTAAGAAAATAACACAAAATATGAGATGAGTGATGAAACTAAAATATTCAATAAAAAAATAATAATGAAATCATCATATAAAATAAATATTGCAAAGTCATAATAAAAATGATCATAATTTAAAAGTACTAAATCACGCTAAAATAAGTTTAATAAGTATTAGTTACATTACTAAATATTTAAGGAAAATTAAAATTAGATTATGTACTTTAATTGTCTAAATCAATGTAAAACTAAAGAACAAATATTCAATATTATTGTCATTCTTAGTGTTGAATTGATTTTTTTTTTTTTTTGCATTAGTATTAATTTGATTTTGATTTAAATTTTATTATAATTATCAACATCTATGAACTATAATCTTTATTGGACCATTCCGAATTCTAAGTTTTAAACTTGAAATAATATATTAAAAGATAAAAACTATGAAATAGTATAAGAAATATTTTAAAATTATATCAATGTAAATATTTTTATGTATAAAATAAAATTTTAAAATTACATATATGATGTCGGGTTGGTTTGGTTTCAGATTGGTTTCTTTTAGTTAAAACCAAACCAACCCAAATATAGTCGGGTTTTTTTCCAATACCAAACCAAGTCAAACTAAATCACTAGTCGGATTTTTTGTTCAATTTGACTCGATTTTCGGTTCGATTTTGTATGCCACACGAATCAACCAACTTTTCAAGTAGTGCTACCATGGTCCATAATGATGGTAGCTATGGTAGTGGGATGCAACAATCATCCCACACATCGTCCATGGCATCCATGGGACACCATGATCATGGTCATGGTTATGGGGGCAGCCACACCCCAGAGGCGTATATAAGGGGGGTCACCGGGTTCACGTGAACCCATGGTCCCCTCCCCAGATCATAAATAGTAGTGTTATATTTTTAAAAAATATTAAAATATAGATGTGTGAACCCACACTTGAAGTATCACATAATACGATTATGACTGGGTGCACCTCTTTGAGAGAGGTTAGAAATTTGAATTTTATATTTATCTTGTTTTATTTTTCTTTCTAAAATTAGATAACACTTTTCTAAGTGGTAATTGGTGTGTGTGTATTTATATATATATATATATATATTAATTTTAGACCTATAATTTTAAAATTTTAACAGTTTTCAATAGTAAAAACCTAAATGTCGAATTGATCAAATTTATATCATAGATCAACCTTTTTATAACACTGCACTCATCATCTCAAAATCCTGAATACGCCTCTGCCACACCCTAGTAATTATAGTCAAAGCCAGAAGTTCAACTGGGCTCTCAAGATCATATATGGATTGTGATTAAATCAAGATAAATTTGATAATGATCATATAGTATGTGTGTTTTGGTAGTGGCCTTTTAGCTTTATATAGCACGAAGGGTCTCTTACTTAAATAAGTAACGTGTACTCTCTGCGTTTTTATTTATATATCGTCCTTATTAAAAATAGATGTTTTTAAATATTTGTCATTTCACAAAATCAATGCATAAATGACACTATTCTTCTTATTTTACCCCTTAAAGTTATTAGTCTTGAAAGTATACATTTGATCAACATAGAAAAACTAAGTAAGTAATCCATGTTCATTGGTTAAATTAATTAATCAAAATAAATTAATTCATATCCATTTATTGAAAATTTGACTTCAAAAATCTAGTTTCTTAAAAAGTGTGAAACCTAAAATGATGACAACTAGATAGAAACGGAGGGAGTACTAAACAATCTTCTTATAAGTGTTATATGGTTATGGCTAAGACAACTAATATAAGGCTTTATCCCAAAACCCAATCTATGTGGTTGCTTCTTCGTCTTCATTCTTTTTCGTGTTGTTGTTCTCCAATTCAACCTTTTAAAAAAAAATAAAAAATAGAAAATTGATGTACCGAAAATGTGATTATTTCGAGCAAATTATATATTAAAAGACTCAAAACAGCGAGAGGATTTCATATCTTAATTTTGGGACTGTTTAGAGTGATTCTGAGTTGATCGAGATTGAATTCGTCAATGTATACTTTATGTATAGTCAAAGTATATTTCATGTATAGTTAAGCTATATTCAACTTTTAAAGTGTATCATAATGTATAATAAATATATAATTAATATAGTAATAAGTTATATTGTAAGTCGATGCATACTTTTTATGACTTTTGACAAACTTTATAATATTTAGTCGGTATATATTTACTATGACTCTTAACTATTTTTAGAGTTAATACCTCATATGATCACTCAACTATGCACTTTTCTCTCAGAAAGTCACTCAACTTTCAATTTTCACTCAAAAGTCACTCAACTATGCACTTATTTCTCAGAAAGTCACTCAACTTTGAATTTTAACTCAAAAGTCACTCAACTATCCACCCTTTCCTCAGAAAGTCACTCAATCTATTTAATTGTTTTTTAATTACAATTTGTTGATATTAATTGTTTATATAACAAATCAAAATTTAAAAAAATAAAAAATATCATTTAAACCATTTAGTGATCCACCCACCTAACCCGATCCATTAAAAAATATAATATGACCCATTTTGTTTTGCCTTTAATCCTAAATTTAAACAATTAATATCAGCAAATTTTAATTAAAAAATTTAATTAAGGATTAGTTTAAATGATAGATTTTTGCCTGTTACGTTAGGATTAGTTTAATATCAGCAAAATTTAATTAAGGATTAGTTTAAATGATAGATTTTTGCCTGTTACGTTGCTGATTAGTTTAAATTGATCTCGTTTAATATCAGTAAATTCCTTAATTTTACTTGGACTTGTCAGAGTGTTTAAATTTAGGATTAAAGGCAAAATAAAATGGGTCATATTATATTTTTTAATGGGTCGGATTAGGTGGGTGGATCACTAAATGGTTTAAATGATATCTTTTATTTTTTAAAATTATTTGTTATATAAACAATTAATATCAGCAAATTTTAATTAAAAAATAATTAAATAGATTGAGTGACTTTCTGAGGAAAAAGTGAATAGTTGAGTGACTTTTGAGTTAAAATTCAAAGTTGAGTGACTTTCTGAGAAAGAAGTGCATAGTTGAGTGACTTTTGAGTGAAAATTAAAAGTTGAGTGACTTTTTGAGAGAAGAGTGCATAGTTGAGTGACCAT